TTTGGTAAGGAAAATGTGGTTCATGTATACAGTGGAGTACTATTCAGCCGTAAAAAAGATGAGATCCAGTCATTTGCAACAGCATAGAGGGAACTGGAGATCTTTAAGTGAAATAAGCCAGGCACAGAAAGACAAACATTGCATGTTGTCACTTATTTGTGAGCTCTAAAAAGCCCGCAACCACTTTTCTGATTTTTTTTTTTTTAAAGGAGAATTAACTAGCATCTCCTGGTCAGTAAGTCTAATACTTTTTACCTTAAGGTCAGATTTTTGTGGCCTATCTATAGCCACTGTTAGCCATGTGTTTCTTCTTGATGGTCTCTCCTTCCTAGGTTTCTCTTGATTCTCCTGCATCTGCCTTGCCTGACTCTTCTTCCATCCCTTCTGACAGTGTTTACCAAGGATTTCCCTTGGCCTGCTTCTTTCCTTGATCCTCATTTAAACCTTTCCCTTCAGCTGCACACCTCTTCTGCTTTTCCAACTCTACTGCTATTCCATTCTTCAGTTGCTTGTTAAACATGGCCCACCATCACCTCAAATATGATGTTTAAAATGTCCCCATTTTTTATCGAACTTAAGTTTCTTCCTGTGGATCTGTTGCTAAGTACCCTCATCTTTCCGATCACCTAGAGGTAAAACCTCAACATTTCTTTGAATTTTTTCCCCTTCTGTTTGCCACATCTAATTAGTTGCCAAGTCTAATAATTTTAACCTCCATGACATCTCATTTCTTTATTTTTCCCCATTTCTTTTTTTTTATTATTTAATTTTAGCTTTATTATTTAATGAACTCCCAAGCACTCAGATTCCCATTTCTACTGTGACTATTCTGATTCAGGCCCTGATTTCAGTCAGTCTTTTGCAGTGACTCTCCCACAAACTTCCTAATGTAGAATTGTAGAAAGAGCATGGGCTCTGCAGTCAGATAGACCTAAGTGCTAATTGTGAAGATGGTCCTTCTGGCTGTCTGACTTATAGAAACTTATTTAATCTTACTTTACAGATGAGAAAGTTTAGGCACAGAAAAATTAGTCATTCCAGTTCAGTCACAGAGAAGTTAGTCATTTCTACCTCATCAATGAAGTATGCAGTTCTGAAGGGTAAATGGGACAATGTGTGGTTAGTGAGAAGGTACTCAGAAAAATATTATTTCTCCCTCCCTTACTTTTGATCTCTTTACAACCCATTAATAGATTAATATTCTTTAAGTATAACCTTCATCATATGAGACTCTTGTTCTTCAGTGGTTCCGCATTGTCTAATTTTCCATAATTCTTAGCCTAGAATTGTATACTATCTATCAATTTGTGTCCACCTCCCTTTCTGACCTTATTTCTCCCCACTTTTCACAAACATCGCTTTGAACCAAACCAAACCACTAGCAATGCCCTATAGCAGAATGGCTGAGAACATGAATTCCAGAAGCATCTAAATCCAGTTCATGTACTTACTTTGTGCCCTTGAGCAAATTATTTAATGTCCCTAAACGTTTCCTATTCTGGGGAAGGGGAGCAGGATAATTATAGTGCCTACTGCATTGGGTTGTTGGAAGGATAAAGTGAGACCAAGTATATAGTGTTGAGAGCAGTCACTGTTGGTAGTAGTAGTAGTAGTAGTTGATGCTTTTGTTATTTGTTTCTCCCATTTCCATCTCCATCACATTCACGTTCTTTTCTCTGCATGGAATGCATTTCTTCTCCTTTGTACCTGACTACATTTTATCTATCTTCAAAGATCTTTCGTGGTTCTAGTCACCACCCTCCCCTTTATCTTTCAACTTCATCATTCCTTGCCTCTTTTAGCTTAGAATGCTTATTACCTTCATATACTTATCTGTTTTATCTCTTTTATAAAAGACTAGAAGTGCCTTGAGGATGGAACATGTAATTCAATTTTTGTATCTTCTAAAGCATAGCATCTTACACAGAACCAGGCCAGAAAGTATTTACCGAATAAATATATTAATTTACTGAAACCAATAGCCCTTTGTTTCCAAGGGATTTATTCTTACTTCTTTAGGAACTTTTGCAGAGTCTCCATAAACCATTGGTACATTTTCAGAAACATTGAATTTTGTTATCAACATGCCATCCTTGGGTTCAAGAAGACTAAAGAAAAGACATTGTAGCAGAAGGCAATAATAACAAAAGCAAAACAAAACAAAAACTGACCAGGTGACACTGCTTTGGATTCAGCAAAATTATTGTTTTTCTACACTGGCTCTCATTTGTTACTGTTACAAATACTGTACACCAAATATTATAGTACCTAGAATAGTGCCAAATTAAGCATTTTTGGATAATAGTGGATCTAAAATCTGTTTTACTGAAGTAAAAAAAAATAGCATAAATAGCTAATACATTAAAATGTGGTTAATATCTAGTTCAGTTTGTTAAAATGAGAAATTATTCTTAAGGAGTGTCACCTTCTTATATTGTGGGCAGATGAAGTATTCTCTTGATAACTTCTCAAGGTACAAGCCACAGAACCTGGGAAGTGGGTGGGGGTGGAAGTGGGGGAATCTCTAGAATTTCTTCCCCACAGTGATTTGGCACAACGCCAGCCTGTCCTTCATCAAAGGTGTACTGTGTTCTTGTTAAAGGAGGCTTATGCTTTTTAAAGGCTTTTATGCCTTTAAATATTTTTGGTCATTTTGAAATAATTTATAAGTGATATACTATCATTATAAAGAGTGTTCTGAGGCTGAGGCAAATGTTAGAAATTTAAGAAATATTTAATTTACATATATGTATTTTTTATTTCTTAAATAGGTATTCATCAATACACTAAAATGGTAATATTTTTCCATTGAATAATGGCTACACCTTACTTGACTTAAAAAGCTAAGGTTTTTTTAGTTATAATACAGAATATTATTTGAGGTTTTTGGTAAGGTAAACTTGTTTTATATACTTTGGGGTGTGATTTATGTAACCTATTCAGTTGCCAGGTGGTTTTATTCTTGAGACCTATATTAAGAATTTCCTTTTTTAGTACAGGCCAGTTCTCCCTTACTCACTACTGAAAAGGGGTGGGGAGGGAGGCTGCAAAACATAATTAATGTATAGACCAATTAGATAGATTTTTAAATTGTGAAAATTTTTTTTTTCTTTACTGATATAACACTTGGAAGCAATGTTGAATAGAGACATTTAATTTTCTATTGTCATAGTAAAATCTCAAGGTAATTGAGAGCAGGCAGCTTGGGCACCAAAGAAGTTTAAGAAAATGTTATTTAAGCACTTTCTGCTGAACTAGGGGAATAAATACTTTTTTGTGATATGTGGATTCTTGTGTTTTTGTAACCATTTAGGGAAGATGTTCTGCTGTAATGGCTGAATATAAGTTGCAGAGATTTAAGCCCACCCTTATATTAATATTCCACCTCATTAACTTAATTGTTAGGGCGTTTACACTTCAGTGATTTAAATAAAATACTCTAAATGTGATTCTTTTGTCTTCTCTTTCCCTCTGTCTCCTGTTTGAGGTCTAGATGATTATGTATTTAGTTTTGTGTTTTCATGTAGACCCTGTTGTTCTATTAAGCGTAAGATGATGATGAAGGGAAGCTATTGTATAACTCTTATGCTGCTAAAGCCCTGGAAGATAAGGGAATGTATTTGTGAAAATAAAATGGTCACTTCTTCAGCTGGTGTTTTATCATTTTTACCTTCCAGTGTTATTCAGAGGACCAGGAACTTTATAGCTATAAGACTATTCTGTTTTGGAGTTCAGATTGCTGATTATATATGAGCTTTCACACATATCCAGTGATATAACCCTAGAACCCAGATAAGGGAAAGTTTTGTTTAAAAGTAAGCTATGTTTGTACTTAAAAATGTTTCCTAAGCATTTTCAGCAAAAGTAGGATTATTCGATGAATTTCCAAGCAAAGTCACCTTTACAAATACTTGCACCTACTTGCAAATAGTAGACATATTTATGCAGTAAGTTTTTTCTAAATGATTTGCTGCCAGTTGTGAGCATTCCTTAGCACTGTCTATCCCAAATGCAAGTTACATGTGTTTGTTAAAAATGTAGAGAAAGGCCAGATGCAATGTCTCATGCCTGTAATACCAGCACTTTGGGAGGCCAAGGCCAGAGGATCACTTGAGGCTGGGAGTTGAAGACCAGCCTGGACAACATAGTGAGGCCCTGTCTCTACAAAAAGAAAGACACATGCACACGTATGTTTATTGCGGCACTATTCACAGTAGCAAAGACTTGGAATCAACCCAAATGTCCATCAGTGACAGACTGGATTAAGAAAATGTGGCACATATACACCATGGAATACTATGCAGTCATAAAAAAAGGATGAGTTTGTGTCCTTTGTAGGGACATGGATGCAGCTGGAAACCATCATTCTCAGCAAACTATCACAAGAACAGAAAACCAAATACTGCATGTTCTCACTCATAGGTGGAAATTGAACAATGAGATCACTTGGACACAGGAAGGGGAACATCACACACCGGGTCCTATTGTGGGGAGGGGAGTGGGGGGGAGGGATAGCATTAGGAGATATACCTAATGTAAATGACGAGTTAATGGGTGCAGCACACCAACATGGCACATGTATACATATGTAACAAACCTGCACGTTGTGCACATGTAACCTAGAACTTAAAGTATAATAATAAAAAAGAAAGAAAAAATTAGCCAGGCACAGTGGCACATGCCTGTAATTGTAGAGAGTCGGGAATCTGAGGCACGAGGGTCACTTGAGCCCTGGAGTTTGAGGCTTGTAAGGGGCTGTGATCGTGACCCTGTCTCAAAAAAAAAAAAAAAGAGAAAAGTTAATTTTTCAGGGAAATGAAGCTTTTATGTTGTCAAGCATTTTTCATTTTATAACAGTATTTAATTGTGAATATATGTTGTTAAATAATTCTATGAAGTATCTGTTTGACCCATTTAAGTTGAGCAGTGAATTTCTGTTTTACCTAAGTTCATTTGTGAGGTATTGGTGTTCATTTCTAACTATTTATTTTATTTTCCAGCTCACCAGCGACTGGAACCAGCAACTCTGTCAGGGATTGTAGGATTTATCCTTAGTCTTTTATGTGGAGCTCTGAATTTAATTCGAGGCTTTCATGCTATAGAAAGTCTCCTGCAGGTACTGTGCTATTTTTGCAATTTCAGGTGACTGTGCCTGTTCATTCTACTTGTTACATAATTGATTTGAATTGGATTGGGTATTAGTATAATTTACAGTGCAAGCTCAAAATCTGTGTTTTTTTTTTTTTTATAGCTGCTTTAGCTTCCTTTCTTCTAAAAGCACTGGTTGGCTTCTTTGATTCCATCATCACATGTTTATTTATCATCTGCTCTTTAGGAGGCACTATAGGCACTCTGGGGACCCCAAGATGTGTGTGACATAGGCCTTGCAGTCTCATAACTGAAAGTTGAACTGGGAAGGCAAGGAAGTAATTGCCAAATACACAGAGTTGGGAAGGGGAAGAGGTCAGTATAATCAGGATTGGAGAAGGAAGGTTTTGTGGAGGAGAGTTGAGCGGGCCCTGGAAAGATCTGACCAGACAGACAGCAGTGGAAGAATGAAGAGGGCACACATGGGCTGTGTTTGTACCACTTCTGCGTATTCCCTACTTAGTTCATCTGCTCCTTTTTCTTTTTTTTTGTTAGTGGCTTCTTAAAACTTGAGCTTCCTGGAAAACCACAAATTTATTCAGATATTTCTAGCTATTTCATTTTCAAGTGGAGTTCTTTTCAGAAACTATAGCTATCAGAATATACTAATTTTTTCTCTTACACTTTTTGTAAACTTTTTGAAATTTTCTTCAAGGTTAGCACATTTGAGACTGCACAGCTTTCCTTTCCTGTATTTCTATTCACTTTCTCTGAAGAACTCTTGACACTCCCACATTATAAATCAGTCCTCTTTCGTTGGTCAGCATTAAGTACAGAATACCATTTGTAAAAATCCACTCAGCATACTTTATATTCTGTTTTTAAATTGCTGTTACTTTGGGGAACCCTCGGAGGGTATCTTTCTGCATCTATTTAGCCATGTAAAGCCAACAGCAGATGACATCACAGGTTCCAGCAGCAGAGCTGTTCCTAAAGGATATGTTATGACTTCCTAATTCCTCTTCCAAACACCCTTTTCCTGCAGGTTAAAGCTCCTCTCCCCTTTTAGGCACAGGACAGCCAGCTGCCTTCCCTTGGCCTATTTCTTATCCACATGCCAGGTCAGATTTATTCCAGCAGAAGGAGTTCGGTTTTCAGCTGTTTAGATTACCTAACAAAAAGAAGAAAGAAAGGCAATTTGGAGATTGCTGATAGAAAAAGCTTATAAATAAGATACTCTTTTTTTTTCTTTTTTCTTTTTTTTTGTACTCAACATAGTAGAAATAACGGTAGTATAGGGGTGTGAAGAGTTGTTGGTGAAGCAGGCTTGGGCTTGGGTAGAGAAAATATTGACCACCGCAGAGCCTCACTATCTTTGACTTATAAAACAGTATACAAGTTATGGAACCTGGGGCTTAGACTGCATTACCTTTAAGTTAAAATTCAGACAAGGCTATTGTATTTCACAAAACCAGTTTAAGGGAACAGTAATTTATTTCAGCCACTCAGATCTTATATCCCTCCTCTTCTTGGGCTGATTTCTTTTTTTCTCCTCTGATTTAAAACTTAAAAACTGAGGAAAGTAGTATAAATTACAGCTTTTTGCTTTTGAGATACTGCAACAGGCTAAAGCCTACCTTGTTTCTTAATTGTTCCTTGTCTTCCCTCTGATCAGTAATGTCTCTGGCTCATTGCAATTGATAGAGTTTTAGGTTTCAGAAGAACAATAATCTGATTAATTACCACTTAAGTGTAACTGACTGACAGCTCTGAGATTTCTCAGCCTATTACATTTTTAAAAGACGACTTTATAGACCATGAATATAGATAGAAAATCCTCAACAAAATACTATCAAATTGTATCCAACAATGTGCAAAAATAATTAACACCACAACCAAGTAGAATTTATCCCAGGTATGCAGGGCTAGTCACTATTAGAAGCCAATTAATCCATCACATCAACAGGCTAAAGAAGAAAAATCACATGATCATATCAGTAGGTACAGAAAAAGCATTTGACAAAATCCAAACCCCATACATCATAAAATCTTGGAGCAAACTAGGAATAGAGGGAAACATCCTCAATTTGGTAAACAGCATCTATTGAAAGAACCTACAGCTAACATCATCTTTAATGGTGAGAAACTGATGCTTCCCCCTAAGACTAGGAACAGGGCAAGGATGTCCCTACTTACCACTCTGTCCAACGTCATACTGGAAGTTCTAGTTGATGCAATAAGATGAGAATAGGAAATAAAAGATATACAGATTAGGAAGGGAAAAATAAAGCTGTCTTTGTTTACAGATGATGTGACTGTATAATATTGTTGATTCTTTTTCTATGTAGAATATGCCCCATGTGTGCAGCACCACACCCAGCTGATTTTGTATTTTTAGTAGAGATGGGGTTTCACCATGTTGGTCAGGCTGGTCTCGAACTCCTGACCTCCAGTGATCCACCTGCCTTGACCTCCCAAAGTGCTGGAATTACAGGTGTGAGCCACCTTGTCCAGCCTCACATGCTCTTATCACTCAAGAAATTACAAAGGACCCTGTGTCAACACCAGGGTCAATGACCAAATGGAACAAAACAAAAAAGATCAGATACGGAAACAAGAGTCTCCTAGCATCTTTATTTACAAGGGTTTTAGGAGCTCTTTGTCAGAAATCAGGGGCAGAGGAGAGAAGAAAAATATGTGGAACTCTCTGCTTAATTTTCTGTAGACCTAAAACTGCTCTTAAAAAGTCTATTTTAAAAATCCATCATTAAAACATAGACTTTCTCCATAATAAGAAGTTGGAGGGGCCGGGCGCGGTTGCTCACACCTATAATCCCAGCATTTTGGGAGGCTGAGTCAGGTGGATCACGAGGTCAAGAGATTTAGACCATCCTGCCCAACATGGTGAAACCCCATCTCTACTAAAAATACAAAAATTAGCTGGGTCTGGTGGCGCGCGCCCATAGTCCCAGCTGTTTGGGAGGCTGAGGCAGGAGAATTGCTTGAACATGGAAGGCAAAGTTACAGTGAGCTGAGATCACGCCACTGCACTCAGCCTGACAACAAAGTGAGACTCTGTCTCAATAAAAAAGAAAAAAAGAAGAAGAAATTGGAGGAAAACTGGAAAGGGAGGAATGTTCTCACTCTGGGCTTTGATATTCTTTAGTTAGGTATTGCTCCACTTGGCAGTTACAGTAGAACCGGTTGTGCCCAGCCCATTCTTAGGAAGCAGTAGATTGGGCCTTCTCTTCCTGTGGAGGGACCGAGCCTTCCCCTGCACACAGGCCAGGTGAGGATATTAGAGTCCCCGCCATAATGGAGCCTGAAATCAGGAATTCATGTTTCAAGGTTACATGTACAAATTTATGCCTTCTCAGAACAATGGCCATTTTGAGAAAGCCAGTGAGAGACAGCCATACCAGGTCCTCTGGCCTAGCACCCACCAGTCCCTGCCAGCTCAGCCCAAGTCTCCTCATCTAGGATAGCTTGGTGGAACAACAATATATTTTAATTTGCATAAAGAAACTCTAGAAAGATAAGAGACTAATGAACATGTTCGGAACTGGACAGATGGAAAATTGGTGGGAACGAGACTTTTGCTGGTATATATTTATATGTATCTTTTATATATTATTTTTAATTTTTGAATCATGAATATTTCACTCACATTTTAAATAATATTTATTAGCACCTGTTATGTAAGCAGAGAAAAAAGACAACTTTTGTTAACTTAATTAGTAGATTTTTAAGCAACAAACATTTCAAGCAAGTAAAGGTAAATATGTTTGTGGGGGAGCCTGAACATTTTGCAGGGCATTGCAACTTCTTCCTGCCCCATGTTAGATTTCAGTTTTCCTAGAAACTTAGAGATTTTTGTTGTTGTTGTTGTTTTTTATTTAAAACAGTTCGTCACAACTATGGTGGTGGAGTGTGAAAGAAGCATGGGGTATAAATTATGAATGGGGAAAAGGTTAGAGTGGTCTTTATTAGTAGGTCATTTATAATTTGGGAACTCTGTGTATAGGCTTGTATGTTTCTGATGGTGGATACAGAATCTTTTCTTTTGTCTTAGACTAAATTACTCCAACATTTCTTACTTAGCTGATTCAAGGAACAGTGAATTGGTTCATATGGGATTCTTAGCTATCTAGAAAATGAGGGCATTGGTACCTGCCTCTGTGTTCCCTTAGCATTTAAAGTCTGTTCAGCCATAACCCACCTGAAGTATTCCACGTACGCTCATTTAGTAGTTGAGGTTCCTGAGAGTGATTCTCAGAGGAGCAAGAAACAACAGAATACAAAGTTGGGGATAATGTAGTCCACAAGTAGTTTGTCACTCATAGGTAGTTTTAAAAGATTTTCCAGCAAATTCTGATCCTCTCACCTAAATGAAAATCAGTACCTTTGCAAATCCACTTGACTAAAAGTAGAAACTCCCGTTGTTCCAGTTATTGAAGACTTTATATCTGCATTGAGTACGATGTTGTGGTAAGTGACGGGTGCTTGGAAATATTTTTCCTTTCCTTTTCCCACTGTGAAGATAAATGAAGGAGCACTATATTAGTGTTAGAATTATCTGCCTTGTAAAGATTCTGTGTCCTAAAAGATGGAATGGATGATAAGTGAACAAAAGGAGAAAATGAAATGTCAGAATGTAAATGGATACAATGATAAACTTAAGAGCTTTAAACCAGATAGGTTCAGGAGTGCAAACTAGAGTAATTTTCCAAGTACATCCTTAGCCCGACTTAACCTGAAAGAAAATACATACAAAATTGGGAACCAGAGGTCTCTTACTTTTAATTTTCCCTTATTGAAGTCTGTTTTATCATTGTTCACAACTTATATTGGATAAAAGATCCTTTTTATCTTCACTAAAGCCATTAGTCTTAAGACATACTCTTAGCCTTCTTTCTGGTTGATCATTACATTTTCATTAGGAATAATCTCAAATGTCACTCTAGATAATTTTTGGTTAGTAAAGGTTGAACTTTCTGAGGTGGTCTGCTCTGAAGACTTGAGTGTAAA